CGTATTCACACAGCATATTTGTACATTTTAAATTACTAGGGGTATATATTGATTTGACCTTGGGGCAAAGCTTGGATGTCATTCATCTGCTGTGAACACGGCCACAAACCTGCACTGGTATTTTGTAGCTCTGTGCACAGTGCATCAGTACTGCCTGCTGTGTTTCTAACCTGGTATACATTTTTCACCAGAGCCTGCAAGTCAAATGAGTCCTGTCACCCCGTGACGTGATGGGGGTAACAAGCATTTGAGGAAAGGCTGTGACAGAGTTCTGTGTGTCCTGTCTGCCTGCCTGGAGTGGCCAAAATGCACTGGGATCATTATTTCCGCAGATGCTCAAAGGACTGACCATCTTCACACTGCTAACACAGGTGGGAATGGAACCCAGTCTGTGCCTTTCCCCAGACTTACCAATGGAACTGAAGCAGAAGCCATGGAAAACAGCTATGCAGACACCAGCACCTTCTCATCATCCTTCTAAACACGCCAATTGTTCTCTCTCCTCTCCAAAGGAGTGACGACCATCAGTCTGCTGCTTCTAAGCCTTGGGTGAAGGAGTTAACATCTTCCAGAGGAAGGAGTAGGTCCACAAATCCACATCTCCACTCTGCGAGGACAGAGGTGTAAAATCTGCAGAGAGCTCTGCCCTGCTGTCTTTTCTCAGTGGGAGCAATCATCCCCCCAGAAGTATGTAGACTAATGGGCTAGCAAAGACTTCTGACTCCCAGCACAAGGGAATGCAGACTCTGCAGGCAGGCACCCAGACCAAGGGTTAAGCACTGAAATAGTCTCTTGAACTGATGAGGAACCACACAAACCAAGGCCCACTCCCAGCTAACCTCTGTCACTTGCTGTGCATGGTCCATATATCCACAGACAACAGCAGGTGTGAGTACATCTGTCTATGTACACTTACAAAAATGTATGGATTTGTATATATGAATATGAATATATCAAAATCCTTCACACTGGATATGAAAAGCAGAGATAGGCAAATTTCTGCCAGAAGCCAGAATTTAATTTTGAAATAATTGGTTTGGTGGGCTTCTCATTTATGAATATTGCACTTATAAACCGTAATACACTGAAGTGCCCAGACAGATTATTCCTTAATGACTGCGAGTACAGGTGCCCCCAAAATAAAGAGATACTCAGATCTGTTGCCAAAAGACATTTGTGTAGCTCCATAAATACCTTTTTCAGAAAGTCTAAAGCTCACACGATGGTCACCCAGAAACCATCCTGACACATCTCACTTGTAGTTCTCAACAAGAAAAATATGCTATTTTCTCACACCTTTCCAGGAAGTAATTTAAAAATATTTTGGCTCAGAATGAGGTGCGATTGTACTCTTAGGTTTTCAAACTATAAAGACTGCTTCCAGCATTTTAAAGCCCTAGCACATAATCAACCACATCAGCTCAGAGCTCTCACAGCACTTACTTTTATGTTGCCTTCTGTGCTTACACCTTTGTTTCTACAGAAAATAAGTTAATATTTTCTTAGTATTTGAAGAAAAAAAATTGTTTGTGATAAACGAGCTACAGAATTACGGAACTGCTGATGTTGGAAGGGGCCTCTGGAGCCCACCTACACCAACCCCCTGACAAAAGCAGGTTTAAGCAGACGGGGCTGTTCAGGGCCAGAGACAGCTGCTCAGTGCCACAGTCCTGTCCCCAAAAAGCAAAAGCCATGTGCTTCGAGCGCACCCTAGCGAACATCCTGCTGAAGCTTTTTTTTGTCTGCTTTAAAATCCTGCAAGTTTCTATATTTACCTATTAGGGTTTTGCTGCCTTGATGCTGGGGTCTGGATTTTAAAAAATACATTTATTAAAGAAAATATGGAGACGTAGATGCCTCATAAAAATCCAGCTGGGTATTTTACCCATCCATGAATGACACGGAATTAGTTTTTGCAGTGATTCACTGAATGTGAATTACAGAAGTCTTCTCACAAGGGCCTTGAAAAATTACTTTTTTTTTTTTTTGAGTATTCTTCTTTCTATATAAATATTATGTTGCTGCTGTTACAAGAGGCTTGTGTTTCCATAAGTTAAAATCATAGACTAACTCAAATTGGAAGGGACCCATAAGGACTGAGCCCAAGTCTCTGCTCCTTGCAGGACTACCTAAAATTAAACCATATGACTAAGAGCATATTCCAGATGCTTCTTGAACTCTGACAAGCTTGGTGCCGTAACCACTGTCCTGGGGAGCCTGTTCCAACTCTGCTCCCAGTGAAAACTCTTTTCCTAATGTTCAGTCTGAACTTCCTCTGAATTTCTGGCACTTGCTCCTCTTAATTCCCATCAGCTGGGGACTGCACAGCTATGTAGCCTATCCAGATGTCTCTGTAAGTCCTCTCTCTCCTAGACAGAGTCCACAGCTTCCCGAATTTAGTATCATTTCCTTAATGCACATTCAAATCCTATGTACAGTTCATTTATAAAAACATTAAAGAGCACTGACCCTAAAAGTGAGCTTTGGGATGACTGACTGCCAGTTTGATGTAACCCCATTTACTGCAACTCTTTGAGCCCAAGCCCTCAGCCAGATTTAAGATAAAACTCCTTACCAGCTGGGTATTGTTACCGGCAAAGTAACTTCAAAGATACAGTTGTGAATAAATATACAAAATATATATGGAAAATAAACTTAAGAAAATGATTCAAAAAAAAAAAAAAAGCCTTCAGATTGGTACAGGGTGTAAATAATCTTGCAGCCACCTGCAGAAGGTACCATAACAATAAAGAGACCTTAACATGTAGTCCTGAAACTATTACACATGCAGGATAAACCTCTCTGAAGTGTCCAGTTGAAAAGCACCTGGCTAAGGTAAACCACAAGGAGACATATATGTTTTTATTTACCAGACTATTAATTTTCCACTTCCAGACAATACTGTCAGTTGCTCCTTTATAATTCTTTGAATTGCATTTGACTGTCAGGCTATGATGTGCACTTGTGCTCTTATCTGGTATCTCATCTTTGGGCAAACTTAAACAAAATAACACTGGAGTCTCCTACACTTACAGATGATTCTCCACTGCTTAAACGAATACAAGGAAATGAAAAGGAAAACCCACCAGCTCTCTTAGTTTGTGCTGTGTTGTTTTTGTGCTACAACTGAACAACTCCCTTTGACTGTCACCTGTTCCAAAGACCTGCTCAGGTGCCTGCACCAGTTTTGATTTGCTGCTGAGTCCTGCAGGGCCAGCACGTGCAAGTGCACAGAAACCCATCTGACCAGGTCATATGGTACCACATGTCCCTGTTCATGCTTCCCAGCTGTCAAAGCACAGCACATCCTCTAGCACTAGCCAGGCACAGAGCTATCTAGGTCAAACAGTGCTTAACTATTCTCAGTCTTTGTCCTCAGCAAAGTGGCCAGACTATAGACAGCTAAATCTGTCTTTTGATGTAGTTTTGTAACACTCACCAAGAGCTGTGCTTGAGCTAACTAAAATCAGCAGCTGGGACAGGACACAGGAGATAACTGAGTGCTGACAACACACATCATTCAATCATCACTACATTCTGTTCAAGATCACTTCATAACACTTCCAAACCACTTTAAAAATATCTTTTCATTCTGCTGTTACCTCCTCTAAGAAAAGCATATCCCTGCTTTCTAATCCAACAAATGCAAATGACCCAGTCAACAAGTACAAAGTCAAACAAAAAATAGTTTTCATCATGCTACATTTTGGTCAGGAAGGAGCAATCACAGAGCCTGGCCCTATCCCATTTTCTTGTCTTGAACAAAGTCATATGTTGGCTGAGTGTGTGGGCTAAACGAGTGTCTCCTCCTAACCTCCTACGTAACAGCCTGCTCTGTCTGTAGAGATGACTGAATTAGCAGTTTGACCCTTTCCTGGTCAATGAAGGGTTTGTGTCTCATTATCTATTCCTTCTCTCTGCTACTGAGGGAAAACAATCTTTTATGTACAGGTTGGGCAGAGATATGATTGAGAGCAGCCCTGCAGAAGGCCTGGGGGTGATGGTTCATGGAAAACTCAACACAAACTCAACACAGGCCATGTGCATTCACAGTCCAGAAAGCCAACCACATCCTGGGCTGCATCCCAAGCAGGGCAAGGGAGGGGACTCTGCCCCTCTACTCTGATCTTGTGAGACCCCCCTGGAGTCCTGCATCCAGTTCTGGATGGAACATGGAACTGGTGGAGCAAGTCCAGAGGAGGGCCACAAAGTTGGTAAGGGGACTGGAGCACCTACCCTACAAAGACAGGCTGAGAAAGTTGGGGCTGTTCAGTGCAGAGAAGAGAAGGTTGTGTGGAACAAACCTTCCAATATTTAGAGGAGGCCTACAGGGAAGCCAGGCCTACAGGGACTCTGTCAGATAGTGCTAGGACAAGGAGCAATGGGTACATAAAAGAGAGGAAATTTAGGTTAGATACTAGGAAGAAATACTTTGCTGTGAGGGTGGTGAGGACATGAAGAGGTTGTCCCCAGGGAGGTTGTGGATGTCCCATCCCTGGCAGTGTTCAAAGCCAGGTTGGATGAAGTGTTGAGCAGCCTGGTGTAGTAGGAGGTGTCCTTGCCCATGTCAGGGGCTTGGGACTAGGTGATCTTTAAGGTCCATTCCACCTCTCTAAAATATACAGTATATTATATGGCATCACTGTGTGAGTAAAACAGAAGGTGAGAGCTGGTGACTGAACAGCTCCCCAGGGCAGTAGTCATGACACCAAGTCTGACAGAGTTCAAGGAGTGTCTGGACAATGTTCTCAGTCATTTGGTTTGGATTTTATGGCAGTCCTGCAAGGAGCAGAGAGCTAGAGTCAATGAACCTTAAGGGTCTCTTCCAACTCCTTATGGTCTTCTTCCAACTGGAGATATTCCATGACTACATGGTAAGTACAGTGGTATATGACAAGCAGATCACAAGTCACACTGCCCTTGTGGTACAGTTCACACAAATCACCTATTTTTTCCCAGTCAATAAATGATCTAAGATATTGAAAACAGATGTAAAACTTTCATATTTTTCAGTTAAATGTGAAATCTTACTCCTTTTTAATAATACATGAGGGACAGGAAGCAGACCAAGAGTAACACTTTGGGAAAACCAATCTATTTTATTTCTGTCAAGTTAGTATGTAATTTTTAAACAGTCAAGCAACAAAACTCCAGAGAACTGTACCTCTTATAGTTTCCCATCACTTATCATGACTACTGAAAACATACAACGCACTTAGAGCGTGTTTTAACCAATACGGTGTTTTTGTAAACCTTCAACTGTAACTGAATACCACACTCAAAAACATCAAATATAGGTACTTTCCATACTGAGTTAGTAATATCAGATGAACTATCCTGCAACAGTACAGCATTGCAAAAATATCTCAGTAAATTTTGATTAAAAAGACTGTATCTGAAATTTAGAACACTGCTCGTACATAAAACCATATAAACAAAAATCTAGCAGCAAAATCAGTAAGTGGTTCAAATATGTCAATAGTTATATTAAATAACACTTAGTGGACTAATAAACAATACCATTTGAAAAGAACTCTTTAGGAAGCATGTAGTGGATATAGTCATTGAATACTTTTGTACTACACTCTTCATAGTCTGAATGGAACTGCTTGTGGCAGGGACACCTTCTTTGGCACAATGCATTTTAAATTAAAGCTAGCTGAGCACACTTATGTAAGGCAAACACGGATCAAGGCAGAGCTGTAACAGAAACCCTGTGATGACAATGACAGTAACACCACACTGCGTGTGTACAGATCATGCTTAAAAATTATTCTTTTGCAGAATGCAGCAACAAGAGATATTAGCCAAACATTTAAGTAAGAAACTGGAACTCCTATACTTTCAAGAGCACACCATGAATCACTGCTTCCTCATGAGAAATTACCAATGTTGTGTCTTCTGTCATCAGTACTACATAAACCTGGAACTGAAAAACCACAGCAAGGATATAAACTTAGCATAATCTGAAGAAATAAAACTAAACCAGTGGAGTTGCTCGAAGTAGTGCAGATAATGACTTCTGTTACCAAGAATTACACTTTCATACGCAAATCCAGAAAAAAAAGGAATCTAGGAAAATGAATTTGGTAACAGTAGTTGAAATGCAATAAATTTTAGCCAAATTAGGCTTTTAGCATACAACCCAAAAATGTCAAAGCTTGATGATATCTGTGGAAATATGTGCACCAATGTAGCTTCTAAAGTTCTTCAGAATATAGCAGTTATAAATAAATTCAGAACCAAATAATCTGTTTTCAACTGCAGGAAGTTATTAATTAAGAAAATGTTATCTGCAGTAAATTTGTATATTATCAGGAAAGAAAATTAATAAGTTAATTGACTTTTGGTTTTAGAGGAGAAAAACATTAAAGTCAATTTAATTTAACATACAAGTATTTAATTCAATGTTTTTTACATAAATCATGGGCATATTATTCTGGACACCACTTTTGAAAGTATTTCTGAATTTTCACAATTTATTCAAGCTTTTCTTTTGAGAGTGGTGAAAGAAATAAGTGTGTGGGTGGGAAGAAAGTGAAATCTTTATTGGGTCATATTCTGCACTTTGATAAAATTTGCTGTAAAAACACAATCTCTTCTCTCAAAAACCTGTACTAGGAAGACATAGCTAATATGGGCCAAACAGCAGTTAGACCACTTCATAAAACTATTAGCATACCCTACCATTCAAAACCTGAGTGCTGCAATCAAATACTACTCCTGAAATTCCCTGGGTGAATTTCTCTCTCTAACTCCTCCATCTCACTCTCCCTCTCGCTCTGCTCTCCAACATTCATAGCTCCTTCATCTCTGATATGAGAGCACTGGACTTCAAGTTGAAAATCTTGCTTCTTTCATGGAAAAAAGAAAAGAAAGACAAAACAATGCTCATAGAATTTACAGCAATTACTCTAAAAGTAAATCCAAACATGAGGGTATTTTATACACTTCTGTCTTCTTATCACAGAATAGGAGCTTCTGTCTTTTCTAAATGATTACTGAAATTTGAGTTATAAAAGTGAATGTGAAGAACTTTCTCATTGCTCTCTGATGACTGGCATCAGCACTTACTTTTTGCAGTCCTTGTGTCTTCAAACTAACAGGGGTAGAGACAGATACTTGTGACTGAACAGACTTAGTGATAGCTTTCTTCTCAACAAACAGAGCTTTTTCATCTTCTAGAAGTTTTTTCTCTTCCCCTAGTTTCAGCTCCTCTTTTTGATGCATTAGCGTAAGACGTTCAAATTTAGTCAGTACCTATTCAAAGAAAGCACAAGAAATAACATTTCCAACCGGCAACACAAGGTGGTGATATCGCAATAGAAAAACCCTCTGCAAAATAACACTAAAACCCATGTCAGCTTGTGTTAATAGTCGTTAAAAATTGCAGTTATTTCCCCAAACCATTAAGATTAAAAAGCAGCAATACGGAAAAATAGTAACTTTTATCAGGCTGTTCTCATGATCCAGACTACTACTCTTGAAGTACAGGTGGAAAACATAGAAGGCACTAAGTGATTCCCTACTACATTTTACTGTATTTTTATTGTATCAAAATAAGGAGGCCTTTGGAGACTAACCAATTATCAACAGACAGATTAAATCAAGATTACTCAAGTAGAATATAGTGGGGATGTGTATATTGATCAGATTTAAATATTAATAAGTATACAGAGTTAGTCTGGTTGGGGAGTTACTGGTGGGCTGCAAGAAGCTACCTACTTTTCAGCTCTTTGACTGGGTTTTTTTGACATTACTACTGCATTTTTTGACCATACTACTGCATTTTTCTTTCCAGATGTATTTTAACCAGTTTAAACCTACTGTGAAGTTGTATGTGACAACAAAAGGGGTACTTCATCCTTCCTCATTTCCCATTTCCCTACACAATTTCTCCTAGAATCCTGCTTTTGCAAACAAGAAACTAAGAATATATATGTTATATAAATATATATATTTATATATAATAATATATAAATAAATATATATAATATATACAATAAATATATAAAAATATATAAATGCTATATAAATATAAATGTATGCCTGCTGTCCACAGCAGACCTGACAAATTTTACAGGTGTATCTGCAAGTCTCCTCTAAATGAAGGATGTGAAAGAAATCTGAAATTCAACAGAAATTCCTGGTTTTCTTTAGTTTCCAGATACAAATACAGCAGCAAGAGTACATGACAAATGTTCTTTAGGAGTGACTGCATGATCACTTTCCCACATAAGGAACTTAGAAAACTAATATCCATAATTCTGCAATATGCAGAGTTCACAAACCACTTGGTATATATCATACAAGGAAAATATCAAAGGGTTAGCACAGATACCGGGTAAGACCTTGCTGAACCTGCTTTGAACATGGCCAAGCATTCTTCCAATTGAACAGCCTCACACTGAGAAGGACTGAATCTAATTTTTTTTCTCTACAAGTAGCATGGGTGTCTTAACAGATTTAGAAAAAAAAATTAAGTTGCTTTCTTATTTAAAACATGCACCTGAACAGCTCAAAAAACCTGCTACAGCTTTGCTGGGGTACTGACATACAGAAAGTAACATTAATAAAAATACACAGGTTTCTAATTTCAATTAAACCAGTGTTTGAATATAAATACGCATGACCACAATAAGAGTCTGGCAGAAAGTAGATGAGAAGATCCCATCTTGCTAGTCCAGCTTGACAGGACTAAATCTTCAAAAACAGAGCCAAGATATATTCCACGTTTTCAAACAGCCTTAAGGCAGCTGGGAGTAGATGAGATTTTGAAACCAGAACCAAAACAAACCAACAGAATACCAGACACACACACTTTCAAACCTCTCAGCATGAGGGCTGAGCTTAGATTTAATAACTAAATCTGGAAATCAGGCAAACAGACATGGCCAACTCTGATAAAAAGCCTCAGGAAAGACTTTTTCCTAAAATCTTGTTTTTCACAGAGCAATCTATGCACAAAAGCACCTACTGTGTTGTTACGGCATACCATGTTTCTCAGCACACTGCTAGAGAAGACAAGGAAACATAACCATTGCATTCATCACCCTCTTACTTCACCACATCAACTCCTACTCTACAGATGTGTACCACCTACCCACCAATGCCTTCAGACCATAAGCTCCTGCCTTCCCAAAACAAGATCCGTTTATAGAATCACAGAATCATGTATGCTAGGAAAGACCTTTAAGGTCATCAAGTCCAAGCATGAATCCAGTATTGCCAAGTCCACCACTAAACCACGTCCCCAGGTGCCACATCTACACATATTTTAAATACCTCCAGGCATGGTGACACCACTTTCCTGGGCAGCCTGTTCTCCAATGCTTAACAACCCTTTCAGTGAAGATGTTTTCCTAATATCCAGTCTAAACTTCCCATGACACAACTTTAAGTCCATTTTCTTTCATGTTGTCACGTAGCAATTAGGAGAAAAGACAAACCCCAAACTCACTACATTTCTCCTTTCAGGTAGTTGTAGAGAGCTATGAAGTCTCTCTCCCCTGAGCCTTCTTTACTTCAGGCTAAACAACCCCAGCTCCCTCAGCTGCTCCTCATAAGACATATTCTCTTGTTTGCTGGTGTCTAATCAAACTGCTTTTGATTTAATGCATTACTGTCCTCAAAATATTAGGAAATTCTAAATATCAACCAGTGATTTTGTTAAGAACTTAGCTGTTCCAAATCTCAGAAAACAAACTCAAGACAGACAGGCACGCTTGCCTGTTGCTCTGCCTCTTCCAACATTGCTGCTTTCTCCTTCACTCTCTGCACAAATCGTTGCTTAATCTCCTCTTCTTTTCTTTCCACTTCAAGGCAGAACTCGAGCCTCTTTGCCTCAATGACTTCCTGTAGACTGAAGTTCAAAAATGTAAGCAACTCTACAGCATGCTGCTTTATTCAGTGTGGAAAACCAACAATCTAGAAAAGTATTTAAACAATTAATACTCATCTGAAATATTAATTTCTACAGCTTCCCACATAAAAATTCAGGAAGAAACCTAAACAGAAGCAAGCATCTTATCTTTCTATTTTTTTATTTACGTAAACAACCCTGACAATTACTTATGCTAACAGCTCCTGGGCAATTTACATTTCAAAGAAAATACAACAATTTAGGCATCTCATGTTCTAAACACTTGATTTATACCTTTCTGACTCCAACAGGCATAAGCTTCTTCTTTTAGTTGCTTACTATTAAGACACTGAAATTGCCAGAAAAATCTCCTTAAATTTCCACATTGTGAAACCTCAGTCTTCAAGTAGGACCATACAAAACAATTAATCTGGAGCACTAATGTAACAAAAACTGATTGCTCCTATATGAAAACGGAAGAAAATAACAGGATCTTCAAAACATACAGCGCTCTTTTTTTAATGTCAGAATTTAAATATGGCAGAATTACATTAATATAGAATGATTTCAATTTCCTAAATAGTTCAACATCCAAAACACAGGGTTACTTTCCAACATGCAACAGCCAAAACCTCAAGACTGCTTGTTTTTTCCTGAACCCTCTCTTCCAGAGGTAAATAAACTGCATATATACTATACTTATATTTGAAACTATATAGAAGGAGTAAATTAGTTCAGATCATTGAGCAAATCTCTGGCAAAAAAAACAAGTCAGCAAGTAAATCAAACATTTCTTTACTATCTATGACTCCCTCCTCTTCAGTACACAAGATCATTTTTTCCCTCCAAACAACAGGTGTTTGAAATTGAGTTACTTCTTTCATGTCAAAGCATATCATGGCAAATTAAAAGATGCTAGTAATTTATTCATATGAATAAACTACTAGAGGCTTGACATTTTCAGAGTCAATACTACCACTGCCAGGCAGTGCTGGTGGGAAATGTTGTGCTTTTCAAGAAATACTAATGGAGCTAGTACACAGATGCACCTCACACACCAAACTTCCTTTGAAAAGCAAACCTGCTTAATGACACAAGTTCTTCCATCAAACTATAAACTTCTCTAAGTCACATGATTCCAGAGAGCACAACTGGAGGAACACAGCTGTTTTAATGGTTATTGAAAACACAAAAGCATTGTCTTCTACATTTGGCTTAAGAACAGATCAAACTGTGGATAATGTTGTAACCTTTTTCTGGGGTTGTTCTTTACCCATTTTGCTAAGTCAGCCCTTCCCAGCTAATGTGAGTTACTGTCCTTTGCCAGGTAACTTATGCCTTCCACCCTCATATAAAATAAACAGGTATGTATATTAAGTATTTGATTTTGATTTATACTTTTAATATACATACACACTTATGTTTTTGTCCTATCTTTTACTGTTTTCATTTAAACCATTTATAAATGGAAAAATCAAAAGAAAATCTAAAGAGTTAATTATTTAGAGCAACACTAAGCTTAAACAGCTCTCTTCTGTCTTTAAATTTATGTTGACTGGGCAGTTTCTCAATCCTAAAGTTTCTTATTTGTATTCAAAATATCATCTAAAGAGAGAAGAAACATCTTGAAATTGCACATGCAGATAATGTAAGATATCAAGGCCAAAGCACTGCTCTTATTTTATCTTATTCGAGCACTACATGGAAACAAAATAAATTCAGAACAATTACCCTTTTGTGTCTGGGTTTGTTTTGGGGGCTTCTAATCAGCTGTGAAATAACAGATCACCCTGAAATTCTAAATCCCTAAATCCATGTGAAACAGGGGCATGGTTTTCACACAGATGTATTAATTCACACTATCTCCAAGTTTAGACAATAATGCTACAGCACAGGTTTTCAAGTGCTAGCAATCTCACACTCTTCACGCTTCTGCACACAGTGTCAGTTCTGATAGATAAAATGCTGCCTTTGGGAATGATAAAGCTGCTAGAGCAAATGCTAGACTAAGCAAACATGCTACAATTACACCTTCATTTCTTTATGTGGACATCTTTAGACCCAGACTAGGTTACTTTATCAGGTAAAAGCAATTTTGTGTTAAAATTAGTAAAAGATTAACTTTGAAGATGCTCAACTCAGTAAATAATCATATTACACATAAAAAGAAGAAAAGAAATAAAAGATGATGTTGCAGTGGCATACAACTTTGGATAAATAAACTACTGTCCTACTTCTACATCCCAACAAGTAGTACAGGAACTTCACAGACAGCTTCTTCCCAATATGCCAGAAGGCAGGGCACATTTTGCTACTCAAGTGTCAGTGTTCAAAGGCTACAAACAGCCAATTACTCAAGTCTAGCAAAGGTTTTCTAAATTTACATTATTATCAAATTTACTATGTAGACAGCTACATCACAGGTACAAAATATGAATTCTCAACATGCATTTTGATCATTATTTATACAACTGGCATGACATTTTAATCTTCAGGCATATACTGCTATGCAATATTAATTATACTGTAAAACTACAGCTCTTAGAATCCATATGTATATATTGTAAACATCTCTAAGGACCAAGAGGATGACAATTTAATAATACATTTTTGCCTAAAACAACTGGATAGTACCTATTCTAAAAGTTATTTAAATGTATAAGTAAACTGGGAACCACTAAACTTCCTTTACATAAAAAGATATTTTCTATCACATTGCTGAGGATGACACTTTTTATTGTTTCCCCAGTAACCTGATAAAGCGCCTTATGGGTAAGGCTGCATTGGTCTGCTAATTACATTGCATACACATCCTCTAAATTCTCTTAATTTTTAATAGTACCATAAAATATCTCTCCCAAAACACCAAACACCTTCTCTTTCAGACCTCGCGTCATTCACTATGCCACATTACTGAGGGACAACCACATCTATCCTAGTCTTACTTTTCTCTTCCTGTTGCAGTAAATCTGGGAAAAAGTTAATTTTTCTAGATTCTTATGGGATATCTATTCTCATTCTTCCAAAACAATGACATTTTCAATAAAACTGATTTACCAAAACTAGTAATTAAGTGTCTTTCTTGCCAAAATTCTCTCAATAAAACTGACATCTAGTGGTCTGTACATAAAATCTACACACCAGAGGGAACTCAGCTCTTCTGTATATCTAAGAAGCAGACAACTTTTAAATGAGCTCTGAAATGCAAAATACTGGGACATTCTGATGTGACCTGCCACTTTAGGCTGTTTACAAAACACAAACTGTGTAGGGGTTTTACAAAGATAATTCCTTTGTTTGTAGAACAAAACACTTCTATGGATGATGGTTTTTATAATTTAACTTTTATCCTGAGATGGCTGTACTCCATGAAATGGAGCTTCAGAAAAGCTGAAGGTACTGGAGTCAGTATTGCAATGAACCAATCTGTAAAAAATAAATCTTCCCTACACAAGGACAACAAGACATCAGCTATTAACACATGTTCTTAAACATAAACCAAATTAAAATTCTACAGTTAATTTCAGTTGGTTTTAAACCTCTATCACCTTTGGTTCTCTTTTTATGAAAAGGATGTATTACATTCTTGTTAAGTGAAGAGAAATGTCAAGAGACCACTGATTCAAGGTCAGCTCAACATCATCTAAATGAATTAATATGAAAATGTGCCTTGGTTCAAACAATGAATAACTGTTTTTAAAGCAAAGTCTTATTTTGTTTTCATGCCTGGTTTAAGTCAGTATTTCCTACCACAACTGTGCAGTAACGGTGCTTCACTAAACCATGAAGGTTTGAACAATTCACGAAGCATCAGCTCTTCCCCAGCATGATTCTGACCAGTTAAAAGTACAGTCCCATGCATTAAAAAAAAAAAAAAAAAAAAAAAAAAAAAACCCAAAGGAAGCTGGAAGAGGGAGATGAGAGAACTGGAAATAAAAGATTAAACAAAATGGATATAAAATTTTAAATGCTTCCTGCAGAAAGCAGCTTTACTACATGAAACAACTGAGTGTCTATAACCTTCTGCTTAACGTTTCTTTGGAATCCTCTTTTAACTCCCTATAGTGCAGCAAGAGATTTCTTGACCTGAAAATGCTAAGACATTTGTTATCATGGCAGATAATGTGGGAAGTCAACAGTGTAACCACTTATTTTGTAAAAGTTTTTGTTTCAGTTCCTTCTGAACCTGGAGTCCAACCAAACTATTATTTATATCAGACATTCTTAGGAAAGAAAGTAAAACATAATAATAATATATACTGAAAATAATCTAAAAGTTCGCAAAGCACAGATACGTAAAGAAAACAGACATGCTTCCTGAAAAAAATTAAAATCCTCAGGTGTATTATAGAAGAAAAAGATTTCAGAAATACAACTGGCTTTCATGTTTTAAAAAGAATACTGATTCAAACCCATATATGAAGGTAACTGAATGAACAGCTACATCCTTCAATCAAAAAAAAAAAACATTCTTTCAGTCTTAGAAAGCTTATTTTATGTATGAACGGCCGCTCTGATGGGGTTGATGTGAAGTGAAAGGATGCTGAAAGCAAGTGCTGCACACCAAGTCCTTTACCTGACTTGTTTGCTCTCAGGGCCAATGTCTCTGCAACCCAACTTTTCCAGCCTGCAGCGCCTGTATGACTCATAATATGCACGAGTCTTCTCCTTTAAATCTTCCATATTTGTGCAAAGCATCCTGCGGAGCTTTATAGTGTCACAGTGGTTCTCATTTTCCACTAATCAGTAAAGAAGATGATTTTATTATTATGCAGAAGTAGCAGAATAGTCAAAATACATTATAAACATCATCACTTACCTTTCCCTAGAAGTATATTTAGTGAACAAAGTATCTTGTTGTTTATTATACCTCTTACACGTCTTTATAATTTTTAATATACACACTGAAGTACTGAAGACATGGAAGTACTGGTGAACATATTTCAACCTGTCCTGATTTCCTGCTTGAGATGAAGACCATCACATTTCTCTCTTTTTTAACCCTCTTTACTGACAATCACAAATGATTGAAATTTGGTAGTGCTAGAGGTACTGCCACTATCTTAACCTGCCCGAACACTACATACACCATCTCATACTTTGATCCCAAGAATGCACCAGTGTGGATGAAATTACAAGTTAGTGCATGTCTCAAGTATTAATTGCTAAGTTCCTTATACTGTTGATGCAAAATACATCAGCCTGGCATCAGTGAAAGAGCCCCTTGTATTACTGTGGATTTTATACTTCAACAAGAGCAAAAGCTCATAAAGATATTTTTAAGAATTCTTTTACCTTTTACAATGCCCCAAGGGTACTGACGAGCTCTCACCATTTTGTTTCCAATTTTCACCTTCTCCATACTTCCTACCACAGCAAATGGCAAATAACCCTGTAGGAGATGTACCAATTAAGTCTTATCTGTCAGCACTCTTACATAAAAACAGAGAAACACCTCAGAAATAAATTAGGGAGGAAAACACCATTTCAGGAAAAGCCAACAAGCAGTTAAAACCAGAAACCACCTCTAGGAGATCAGTAGCTAGGCAGTATCTCCTGATAAAAAAACTATTAACTACAATAGAACATGAGGAGCAGTTGATAGATCCAGATGGGTATACTGACAACTCAGGGGAACCTCAACAGGCTGGAGAAATGAGAGCAATGCTAAGTCCTGCGTGTCAGGAGGAATAAGCCCATGCCCCAGCACATGCTGGGGGGCCAACACTCTGGAAAGGCACTCTGCAGAGTAACCTGGTGAACAGCAGGCTGTTCCTGATTCAGCAGGTCTGTCCCAAGGGCAAAGGCAGCCAATTACACCCTGAGCTGCACTAGGAATGTCTGCCCCAAACAGAAAACTGCTCTAGAACATGTGACTCACATTCAGTCAGAGCTCATATCCCAGTAACACTCACGTGACAATCACACATTGGAACCTGCGCTGTGGTTACTGCTGTGGGCTTGGCACAAAGACAGGCTGGGCACTGACTGCCTGCATGCTGACCCACAACAGCTGACCAAATAAAGAAACACCATCACCTGGAAAATAAATCACTAGCAGAGCATGGAAGTGCTAAGTAACAAACCACCACGTTTCCCCACAGCAAAAGGACCTGTTACTGATGGACAGCTGCACATTCTCACTCCCTGGCCAGGTAACAGAGGTTGGGAATGCACAGCCATGGGCTCCAGCATGCTGGCTCCTGTTCCCTACTTTCAAACCCCTGTGCACACAAACATGGTCACATGCACCTACAAACACACACACAAGAGCAGCAAACACAGAGCACTCAAGGCAAAGCCATCTAGCTTCACAGCCTTAGCTGAGAGCTGGCAGCCACCCCTGGGACAGTCAGAAAGGACAACTGAAAATAAGCCAGTTACATCTGACTTCTTCATCCTCAGGGAAAATCTGCCCTAATTTCAAAAGAAAGTACTAAGTAAAGAAAAAATGCAGGTGTAAGACTTGCTATTGTAGAAAGTTGTAGACATAAGGCACCTAAATATCTTCACTACCAGATGTAAAATTGTATCTGTTGAGGAAAAGAGCAAAGTCAATCTGTCCATCTATAATAGTAACTATATATTAATTAACCAGATAGTATAAAAACCATTTATGCATGAGAACCTCTTTTCTGTTACAGGTATCAACAGCAGAGGGGCAGGAAGATTTGCAAGTAGGAAAGAAATCCCCAACACATAAGAAGAATAAACAAACTCGTGACATGCAAACTTACAAGTTCAAAGACAATGGTGAAAGCAGTAACATTAATCAGCATTAGAGAATGATGCTTTAGCACTGAAATATCAACATTTTTGTCATTTACTTACATTTGTGATGGTATTAATCTCAGAAACGGTTTCATCATCAGTAGGAAACTGGTATATTCGGATGCCATTGCTAGCTAATTCACTCATTATTTTCTTCTTGAATTCTTGTAGCTCAGTTTTAGAAATGCTGTCTGCTTTGCCTATAACTGGTATAATATTCACCTATGAATGACAAATTACATGAAATGTGTGAGACTTCAATTTTGAGGTGGCAACTTTTGTAAATAGAATTGTTTTTAATTAGCTGACTTCCTCTGCAGTCCAAACCTTTCCATCAAGTGATATCAAATTTTCATGAACAATGAAAAATATTCTCATGGGCATCAACTAGCAACTAATTATTTAATATACTCCCTTAAAAGTAATTGATTCTAAGAACAAGGAAGGAGGTTTCATAGAGCTAAGTACTCAAATGCAAGCAATGCCTGCTTATTAACTTAAATACTAAATTAAGTATTTATATCTCTGTTAAAAAAATAGATTGTTTAGTTTATAGCAGCAGGGGACATGGCTCAGGTGTTAAATGAAAGCTGGCAGTCTAAACACAGAAAGAAAAGGAAGCTGTCTACCAAACCCTGCCTACCCCTGAGCCTCTTCCTTGGGTTCCTTTCAGCTACGTCTTCTTCACCTCACCACTGCAGCACAGTTTCTCCAGTATCTGACATGAGCAGAGGAGTAACAAAGGCTAAAGCTTCTTGCTCACCAGTCTTTACTGAGCTAATTATTCAGACCACAGAATTCAGTTCCATTAAACTGTCCTATTTCCTAAAACAGTGATGGCAGTAACTTGGAAGCGATAGACGCCAAATTTTTCTTACAAATACTACCACTACTCCCAAAATACACATTTTTCAGAACTAAATGGAAAAAATTAATGCCCAAATGGAAATAATTAATATCCAAATATTTTGAATGAACAACATCAATAACTCTTTCAGATTTCAGAAGATGAAGTGTTTTACAGAGTTTCTTGATCACAGATGCAAAAAAGAAGGAGAGGAAAAGAAAAAAAGAAAAAAAACATACACACTTTCTATTCTTCTGAATATTCCGCCCGAATGGAAATGCCTAAATATCAAGAATAGATTCAAAATGGGTATTTTTCAAGTAAGACTTTTGTCTTAAGCAAAATGTCCCAAAGAAAAAGAAGCAAGCCAGCTCTGAAGTATGACTTCCAAGATTACCTGATGATAGTCCTTAATTATGTAGCATAAATGATCTAAGCATATATGGGGTAAAATATCTAAAATCAAATAAAATTATGGAACATATTTTTGTAATAACTGAACTCATTTAGAATAAACAATCTGTTACACTAGGAGTAATTCACACCTTCAATCAAATTAGCTGAGGGACAACAACGTAGGTTTTCTCCAATATAGGTCTAAAAATGGATGGAACACAGAGTCCTCAGAATTAAATTAACCTCTACTCTTTTTCAACACCAAAGTTGTCTTTTCAACGTGAACATTTTTCAAGCACTCACTAATTAAGAGATAATTTCTTAGAAAACAGAAAACAAATAGCAGAGAAAGTCTACCAAGAAGAACAGTAAAATGCAAAATCATCAGAAACTGTGATTACAGCTATCAATATTGACATTAAATCACCACAACTGTATAAAAATTGAAAAGCATAAAATTAACTCTGGCTTTAGATAAGCAACAAAGAAGGAAAATAAATACATGTAATTGAAAACATTGTTGGTTGCAAGAGCAAGCTGATTGAAGTGTACCTCTGCGAATCAATATAAAAATTTCTGAAGATTCTTTCTGCAGGGAAAAAACCCAAACAAAATCCCCACAATACTTTACTGACTGAGCCATAACCTGCATACAATTCTGTGACAATGAATTACAATTGCAGCGCCCTTAGCTGAATAATCACTATTTCCAGAAAGAAAGAGTACAGGAAAAGATCCCCTATGTCTGTGAATGAAACCTGGCTGGTCTGTAGTGATGCCATCCTAAGCAAAACTAGAGGATTTTCCAGTGTCTAAATGCTAGAGACCAAATTCTTAGCTATTCATCCAATTCATAATAAATAAAAAAAAAATTGGCCATAGATACTCTTTTTTTTTTCTTCAAGGACTGCAGAGTACAGGATGAACCTAATCTATCCCAAGAACCCTCTGTACCTCTGAGCTGTGTAATCTGCTATTGTTCTGTAGCAGCAGACTGTAACAAAAGTACACAGTGTACACTGCAGTAGATTTAGGAAGAAACTCAAGACAGCTTTCTACATAGATTTACACATTTGATGGATGCATGTGGCTGTACCATCTTCTCTTTATGGAATCCTGTACTCAGCAAATACACCCAGGGACTCCCATATCCTGGGAAATTCCAAGTTCTTAACTGCCACTAGGAGAATGCAGTACTAAAAGCACCACAAACATGCTCCACAACAAGATGGAAACAAAACTACAGTTAAGCACATAACTCTTTATGTGTGTACACGGGTATTTCTGTAGTAAGATCGGAAAGAATCCATTGCAAATGGATAAAATAACAGAGTTCATGTGGTTTATGCTCTCTCTGTGCCAAAGCAGAATTTAGAAATTTTGCAGTAGGTGGCTAGAAGTCAAAATACCTCAAAGCAGAATTACTTTTGGTTTATCCTGATGGAAGTATTTTCTGAGGATGCTGGAATTCGAAGATCTATATCCTTTTCTTTTGAAAGAAACACTGTTTTAAAGGAAGTTCAGTAAAGAGCAGGCACAACCTAGAAACCAGCAATATAGCACACAGAAATGTGCTCTCCCGTGCCTTTGCACCACCATACCTTCCCTTCTCTGCTATTGAGAAGTTCAAAATGCAAAATATATCCACAAACAAAGTAACAAAAGTCCCAAATGTGCTTATCAAACACAAATGTGGCCGAGACAGCTGATTTAATCCTTGCTATCTTGGAAAAACTTCTCAGAAACAAGAAAATGCAGGAAGAAAATTTAGTGGGAGGGCTCTAGTGCAGCACAAAGAAAAAGGCGAAAGGCACAGCAAATGCATTTAAGTTTTCAAAATTTTCAACAATTCAACAAATTAAATCCAAATAATAAAAGGTTTCTTAAAATATGTTAAACATTTACCTTCACATAGCCCCATTACATGAAGAAAGTTATGGATTTAGAAAATGCAAGTAATTTCACTAGAAACTGCTACTTCAAAGCTTTTCTAAATCAGTATGTTAAAACACTACTGCAGCCTATCACAGAAAAAGCCACATTGGCAGAGTTCTCTGTTCAAGGCTCTTCATGCCTCTTCAGTTATCTAAAATGAAGATCTTCAGTGCTGCAGACCTTTTTAGATGCCAACTTTCCAGCAGTCCAAAAACTAGAAACAAGCTTAATTAGAAATAGTAAAGTACTTCTAGAAGGTACACTATCCAATCCCACTACAATGTTTAGGGTTCAATAAAAGTAAAGTTGGTGTGGTTCTACTTTTTTTGACTTTTTTTTTAACTTTGTTGTGCTTCTTTTTTCAATGTTCTTACCATATGTCTCTCTCTTTTTGATTTGAAAACAAACAAGTGAGGAACTGCAAGCTACTTGCAGAGCCCATTTATTTGGAACTTAAAGTGTATCAGTACCAAAAAAACATTACAAAACCAAATGCATCAATATAGAACTGAAACATGGTAGTGGACCTAAAGGCTACAAGATGCTTTAGAAAGTAAGACAAATTCTTGGAACTGTTTCCAAGTCTTACCTTACTGTCTAGGCTTCTCATAGTTAACAAATCTATGGTTTTTAGAGAACGGCCTGTAGGTGAAATGAAATAGAGGCAGACATGGATGCGAGTATCATGGTAGCTAAATAAAGAACGTATAACTTTCAGTTCTTCCTCGAGATAGGCTTCAAATTGTGCATCTACATAATCCACTATTGGCTGATAGCTGTAGGAAATAAAATTTAACAACCAGATATTAGCTACTCCTAAACAGAGACAGACTAAGAAGGGAGTTCTCTTGTATTGTTCTGCAGATTTTGCTTTACATGTCAAAAGGCTGCTCAAGTAGGGCAGAAAATTATGTGTACAGACTAACCCTAATTTCAAATTCTCTTGTATTGTTCTGCAGATTTTTGCTTTAAATGTCAAAAGGCTGCTCAAGTAGGGCAGAAAATTATGTGTACAGACTAACCCTAATTTCTGAAAAGCTACTCAAAAAAGAATTGTGCATCTAATACAAACAAAATATTTCCTAGCTACCATTAGTGAAAAAAGCTACATAAAGTTAATGATGATTATAGCCAAATTTCCCAAGTGATGTTTTTAAATTTTTGCAATTAAGTTGTGCAAATGCAGAACTCTTAAATATAAGGAAGATACAACAACCTCTTAGGTACAATACAAGAAAAGAAAGAATAAGCAACTAATAGTACCAAGAAACAGGATGAACTTTATCTTCTGAAGTACTGTACATGAGAGAGTTCTTAAACAATAGACAAAAACTAAAATGAGAAATGCTAGAGAATAAAATCTGATTTATAGTAAGTACAGTTTAAGTATACTTTATCCTACCTAAAACCAGATTCTAATGTGCTTTCAAAAATAGTTTTGTTAGATGTAGAAGCAGTGCACCCTTACATTTTTTCTGCTCCACAAAGTTTACAAACCAGATCAAATGCTATTGAAATCCAGAAGCAGGTGTTACACACAAAATCAAAAGAACAAAAAGGCACCCCCTATACCACACATCAAAACCTCTAATAGCTAAACTGGTATCTACTTGCATCTCCTTCATCCAAGTCACCAGCAGCAGCTATCATCCAGTCATATCATAAGCCACAGCTGTCATATAATCTTAATGTGACTCTCTAACCTTTTATTATATGAGTACCACCATTTAGGTACTCACATGGCATAAATTCTTTACAATTACGTTGAAAGAAAAATCTGCTGAGTCAGTTCAGTCCTGTGAAAAAGTCGCAAAAGCAGAGACTCAGAAAAAGTTCAGCACACTGAAACACCAGTGTGCTGCCTCTATATCATCTGACTAAGCTGACTGACACAAAAAACAAAGACCTTTGGTAATCCACATGGTTGATCTTCCAGTTTAAAATCTTCAATAAGTTACAACCAAACTGTTAAAAACCCTGTAGATCTAATCTATATAATCTACAGTACTTTATAAACTGCTTGGCTATTTAAAAACCTACCCATTGAACTCCCTGCTTTTCTCCACCCCAAAAGAAACTACTGCATATACACACATTAATAAAAGATTAAGAAAGAAAAGATTTCATAAACCAAAGGGCAGAGTTCATCTGAATTATAAAATAATTCATATTATTCATTCATAATTCATTATAAAATAAGAAGAACAATGTGTTTACTTTGGCACACAGGGAAAATAGTTAACCATCTATTTGGAACACATGTAAAACAACCACTTAATACAAAGCCCAAAGAAAAATCAACTTGCACTTAAGACCAAAACTTCAGCATACCATGGTGACAAGAGGGCACTTACCTATCTGCTTTGTTCACCTGGTCACCAAATCCCACTGTTTTTACAACTGTCAGCTTCAAAAGAACATTACTTTCCTGGAGTTCAAAAGTCTGGGCTCTAAGTCGCACACTTGACAGAAAATGTGTTGATGGAGAGTCCTCAAAATCGGTGTTAAACAAACTGCTCACCAAGGCTGATTTCCCAATTCCAGTTTCCCCTAAAGTTAAACAGAAGGGTTGGAGAAGACATTTTTCACATCAAATAAATACATAATAATCACAGAAAGTGTACACAAAAACTCAACTGATTTCTCTGAGCAAAACTGTGCATTTGTGCATTCTTTTAGTGAACCCTAAATATATTTTCATTAGTATTTTCATCCTGCATACAAGGGTAAAATATCAGCTAATGAGTAATAAGCAGAACATTTTGGTTTCTTTAAAAGTCTGAATTAACTTCCTACAGATTTTTAAAAGTTAAGTAGCTAGCTGTGAAACCACAGATTCAAGAAAGGTATTTTAAGAGTAAGGGTAAAATATTAGAGCAAAACATTTGATAAGTATAGAAACACTTCAGTAATACCACCTTTGAATTTCAGTATTTTTTTAATCTGGAGCTCTTTGTTACAGGCGTAAGCCCCTTTTACTCAAAAAAATCCAAAAGGCTGCTGATAAATGAATAAATGACTGGCACCCACTTTCAACATTTTTTGGTCTTCACATTGTTTACGAAAATGCTACATACAAACCCAAATAAACAAAGCTGGGAGAAGGGGTGGAATTACAGTTAACATTAAATAAACTGTTTGACACCACAATGGGATTTAAATTTCAGTCACTTCCTAAGATGGGTATACCACTAAAGCCTTTAGGCACCCAGATACTACTCACCAATGCAAAGAATGTTGAAGCAGAACCCATGCTTGATGGATTTCCTAATCAGTTGGTCAGGTAAGCTATCAAACCCAACATGTGCAGACAAGGACAAAGTTCGACAGCCAACATTTTGCTGCAGAAAAATAATTTTAATATATCAGTTAACAATGGCAATAAAATTCTACTAGAAAAGCTAGAACTCATTCCTTATGATTTCACATGCAATGAAGAAAAGCCAAGTCTGGAAAAAAAAAGATCTGTCAAATGAGCTTTATTCCATGATTTGAGGAAAAATTTAAATTTACTTTACAGAACAAATTGCAGGCTTAAAAGAAAAAAGAAAAACAAAGGGAAAAAAAAATCCCAAACCAAACAACCTTATGAAACGTGAATGAAATAAAGTAGACAAGTCCAACTGAAAATGTAAATGAAAACTGTAGGGAGAAAATACATCACAGTTGGTTTGCTCCTAGAAAATAGGAAAAAGTACTAAAAAAAATCTAAGCATCAGAATTCAAAATAGAAAGCATAATCAGAGGAAGGTGTGTGTTACCAAAGGGAACTCTTTCTGAGGAGCTGGAATTGAAATTGCTATTTCTGTCAACTAAAACATTATCTACACTCATTATATGCACCAGAACTCTGAGACAGAATTACACCTATTTCATTAGAAATATCTAAAGGTGCACATTCCTTTTCAAACATCAGCTAGCAATCTAGAACCATGACATCAAGGCAGTGAGCACACTAAAATGCATAAGGCTAAAAGGAAATATCTTGATCCATATCTTGATCCATTTTTAAACAAACATTACACATCAGAAGTAGAAATGGTGACAGGTCCATGCTATTCTTTCTGTTATATTTCCAATCCACATGGAATTGGCAACCATTACTGTTTCCTGGTCCCTAGAAATTAACTGTATTTTTAAACAAATATTGCATAACAGAAGTAGAAATGGTGGCAGGTCCATGCTATTCTTTCTCTTATATTTCCAATCCACATGGAATTGGCAACCATTACTGTTTCCTGTGAACATGCACATGGTGAACAGTAGGAAATGTTTTAATTTAACACTTAAAAGCCCATTAAAGTGACACCTTTTCTAATAGGTATGCATGGCAAATCTCAGAATTCTTACAGCTAGAAGGATATGGATATTCCTCAAGGCATATATACTCATCCTCTTCTTTATTTGCACAGGACTCCCTTGTATGGACTTACAGACTGCACTGCACTAACTGCACCAACTCTCATTCTACATTCCTCTAATTAGATAATTCCATTTTAGACTAATATGAGGGAAAATGCATATGCAAAGTGAACTATTTAAAGACAAATATTAATGATTAAAAATATTACATCTTCGGTTTATTTTTTAAAAAGTACATTCAAAGCACGTTAGAAAACAAAATTTCTCAAGGCATTCTACCAGAAGAAAATTACTATTAAAAAGTGCTGAGAAACACTGAGACCTGTCAGTTTCCTGTCCATTTAAAGACAAGTGCATCTGAGACAGAATGGCTGCATATCTAAGACCTCTAGCTACTCAGTCTGATACTCAAAGCACCTCTATTGCCACTAGGATAAGACAGTTCCTCTAACACAAACCACTCAGCCTCCACACCAAAAGCCAGTGCAAGAGGCTCAGTGTGACTGCAAAAGAGAGGCCTTTCACCTTCATGTCATCAGCCTAAATCCCAAACTCTGCACTGCCATTTGTAACTCTCCAAACAAAAAAAAAACACCCACACATGAATAAATTTATTTCCTTCTGATGTCCAGATGTTAGAAAGATAAATTATTTTGTCAGCAAAATTGCCTTGCTAATGCTTAGGGCTTGACATGCCTCGATGATCTCAGACCTGGAGGAGGTTAACAAAGCCTGGGGAGAAGGATGTGCTAATGAGAGTGGACACAAAAAAATTAAAATTTATGGGCTACAAGGACATTTGGCAGAACACCCAATATAAGGAAGAAACTAACAAAGCCAACTCAGCAACTATGCTGAAATCAACTGACTCAGCTCCAAGGAAATTTTAGCAGGGGGAGATTGTGACCACCAACTCAAGAAACCCACCAACTCAAAAGAAGAGAAAAACTACAAACGTGAACTAATTAGCACGACAAACAAGAGAATGAGAGAATCACTAATGAACAGCAGGTGGAACACTAATTAAGAAAACTATGCAACTAGTAGTCAACGACCCTTGATTTCCTCGTTTGCTAAAATCTATAAATGTCGTCTTGACGACTGGGCAGCTAGCATTTTGTGGGTTATCACCTAGCACCCCACTTTGCACAAATTAGAATAAAGAAATAGAAGTAGCTTGTCTCAGTGTTTAAATTGCTGCTGCCTACCAAGCAGGGAGCACTCCTTCAGGACAACACAATACTTCCCTTCTTTACACAGGAATCATTGTGTAAACTTATTCCACCTGAGAGCAACTGAAGCATTGTCTCAATAGAAAAGCAGCAGCCATATTTTTCCTTCTGAAATTTTCCACGGACATAGGTGTCTGTCCCTCTGCCATTGTTTAACAAATAAGCAGAGAAATCAAGTCTGCAAAACTGACCACAGGATATCTGCACTCTTACTACTTCTAAAAGAAGTATCACATAGTTGATCACCTAATTGACATCACCTAAACCATATCTCATTCCTTCCCTCAACCCCATTTTTAAAGGTTGGTAGCACAACTGTGTCTGGATTTCTCCAGATTCGTTAAATTGGATGGGGCTCTGAGCAACATGGTCTAGTGAAAACTGTCCCTGCCCAGAGCAGGAGGGTTGGAACCAATCTTTTTGAGATCCCTTCCAACCCAAACCATTCTAAGACTCTACTGGATTTGCAGATGTGACTGAAATTCGCCTCCAAAACTGAAAGAAAACGGTAACCAGTGTGTGATTATGCAGAGGGTGAGGGTTCCGCCAGCCCCGGCGGCTACGCCGAGCTCCTGGGAAGGATGCCGCGCCCATGGATATCCCCCATGAGCACCCAAATCTGACTCTTCCTCAGCCCCGAGTTTTCCACTACTACCTACAGGCACAGGAGCTACGCTCCAGCACTGTCCCGTGGATGGGCTCGATATCTTCACGACATAAAGCTGACAGCTTGGCCATCACACAGAAGTAACTCTTCAGTAGGTAAGATTCAACTTATTACCTGAAATACGCGATACGCCACGGGAGCGCTGGGAAGAGTGACACCTGAAAACAAGTTCCTTTAACAACGAGTGTTCTAAAAGCCTGGCAGCTCCGGGAACTAGACGGCGTGAGGCAGGAGCCTTCATCTCCCCCGCTAACCCGACCCCCACCAGCGCCCGGCACGGACCGGGGCAGAGCCCGGTGCCCCACGGCGAGGAACAGGCGGCACTTCCACCCCTTCGCACGGTGCGACCGCCACCCTCCCTCGCCTCCCGCTGCCGTCGCTGCCGAGCCCCTCCGCCCCGTCAGCCGCGCCGGGCTCACCCCCGGCACGGGGCTCCTCACCAGCCGCTCCCCGCACCGCGGAGGGGACTTACCAGGTGCCCGTCGGCATCGGAAGCGGCCATAGCCTCGCCAGAGAGATACAGAAGGAGGGAGGAGAGAGTAGGGAGAGAAGGACACGGCCAAAACTGCCGCCGAAAGGCAGAGCCACGCGGCGGGGAGGAGCGCGGGGAGGGGACGCGGCCGCGGCTCCGCCGCCGGGGCGGGCGCTGTTGGCGGCGCCTCCCGGCCGGAGGGCGGCGCGGTGCCGCCGCCGCGGCAGTGATTGCCGGGCATGCTGCCGCCGGGAGGAGGGGCTCGGGCAGCAGCGGCTCTACCGCGCCCGCACCACCACTGCCACCACCATCTCCAGCAGCGGCAGTAGCAGCAGGAGGAGCTCCGGCGGCGCGATGGGGTAGCGGCGGCGATGGCGGAGCCGGCGGAGCTGCAGCAGGAGTCCGTGGTGCGGTTTCTGGCGGCGCGGGGCGGGCGGGCGCGCAACGCGGAGCTGCTGGAGCATTTCCGGGACTGGCTGAACCCCGCGGATCCCTCCCGCCGCGCCGCCGCCCGGCATCGCTTCAAGGAGCTGGTCAACGCAGTGGCCACCGTGCGCCAGGAGCCCGGCACCGGCGTCAAGTACGTGCACCTCTGCCGCCGGTACTGCGCCCCCGAGGCCGCCGCCCCCCTGACCCCCGGGGAGCAGGAGCCGGCGGCGGAGAATAGCGCGAAGCAGCCGAGCCCGCCGCCCTCCCCACGGGCAGGCGCTGAGGAGACGCCGCCGGCAACAGGCGAGGATGCCGGCAGCCGCCCGCAGCGGGAGGCGGCGCGGGGCAGCTCCCCTCAGATGAAGCGCGGCGCCCTGCCCGGCGGGGGCCGCGGCCGCGACTCGGACAGCGCCTCGGTGGCCTCGTCCTCCGCCGAGGAGGAGGGCAGCACCACCGGCTCCGTGGCACTGGACCCCCTGGAGCACGCCTGGATGCTGTCGGCCTCGGACGGGCGGTGGGAGAGCCTGGAGGGGCTGCTGAGCTGCGAGCCGGCGCTGCTCTGCAAGCGGGACTTTATCACCGGCTTCACAGTGCTGCACTGGGCCGCCAAGCACGGGCGGCAGGAGCTGCTGGCCACGCTGGTCAACTTCGCCCAGCGGCACGGGCTGCCCGTGGACATCAACGCCCGCACGAGCGGCGGGCACACGGCGCTGCACATCGCCGCCATGCACGGCCACGCCGAGGTCGTGAAGCTGCTGGTGGGAGCCTACGACGCCGACGTGGACATCCGCGACTACAGCGGGCGCAAGGCCGCGCAGTACCTGCAACAGGGCACCTCGGGGGACATGCGGAACCTCGTGGGGGCCCTGGAGGAGGAGGAGGAGGAGGAGGAAGGGAATGCTGGCAATGGGAGCGGGCGCTGGAGGCTCTCCAAGGTGTTGCCATCTAATCTCATGAACTACCGGCTCTCCCACCACCACCACGGCTCTGGGGAGGAAGCTGAAGGTACCGATGGGGCAGCGGTGCAGGGCAAAGGCAAGGAGATGTCCAGGAAAGCCTCTGGCAGCGGACGGATGAAGCCTCGGCTTAATAAGATCCGCTTCAGGACTCAGATCATCCACAACACGCCCTCCTTTCGTGGTGACGCTGAGGAGGAAGAGCATGAGGAGAAATCCCTGAAATCATCATTCAAGCTGAGGCCGAAGTCCAATGTGTTTGGATAAGGCCAGGCAGCAGGAGGTCTGGGAGGTGGATGCACGGACCAAAGTGCCCTCAGGTGTAGCACAGAAGGTGAGGCAGGTACGAGTGGGTGCTCGTCTACACTCGTGGACTCTGCCAGAAGGGTCCTGAGTATCTTGCTTTAACTCCCAGCTCGGTGTGGTCAGTGAGCCCAGCAGGTCAGCAGGGCTCTGGGAGCTCACAGCTCCTGGGAGCAGCTGCTTCAGCCAGGCCCTCGGTGCTGAAATGGAGGCAGTGGGTGGGTTGAGAAACACTGGGGTGTTTAAAAGCTGTGCTCCTTTCTCTCTAAAAGCAGGCTTTGGGATCGTAAACCTGTGTTAGTGGATCTACTAGGATTAGTGAAGTGAGTGGGGGAAAGAAAAGTGCAAATGCTTTACTCTTACATTATCAACTGGTACTATAAACTATCATCAAACAACTTGCTATGACAGAAGAACACCTCAGTAATATACAAGTATACCTTAAGTTTCTCTTTAACAGCAATACCACCTGGCACAGTGTGGAGTTGGGTACACAAAATGAGATGGTACAGAATGGTTTCCTGTCAGAATCCAAGCTTCAATCCATCAAAGAGTTGAGCCTGTGTTGACTTTATGCATTGAAAATTGCTTAATTTGACATCATGAATATATTATTTAAAAAAGTAATAATCCATTGCACTGCAAGCAATGAATAAAGTTAACCACGTGCAGAAGTCTTTGCTGTCTGAGGTACTACTGAGCTTGCTTATTGCTGTTGGAATACTAATACAAGATAATAGAAGCAAAGAGTTTTTATATATATTTGGTATCTTATGTTTTGTCTTAGGCAAAGCAATTTTATTTTAATCACTGTGAATTCTCAAGTGCCAGACCTAGCGCAGTTCCAGTTATTAAGTCTGGTCAATTCATGTTAATGTTCTCTGTGTAACTCACTGCATTTAAAAATCAGAAAATCGTGTTGTATGTGTTACCTGTGAAAGTTGTTCTCTATTAGAATAAAAGGGCACAGACACCATTGCATGAAACCTTCATGAAACTCTAATACAGTTCTGTAATGTAATAGCTACAGGTCTGTGTTCGCTGGTAACTTTGTGCCAATCCCATCAATTTACACTGTGTAGAAATAGAGAAAAAAGGGGAAGAAAACAAAAAAATGGAAGGTGTGTGAATTCATGCATAGGGTGAAAAACTAGAGCTCCAAAACTCAATCCCTGTTATCATTCTGAATGAAACAGCATAATTACATATTCTAGTTAAGTGGTGGCAGTGGTGTTTGAGTTCTTTTAAACCTATATTTCTAGAGAAGTGATAGCCAAGGCTTTGAACTGTTGTTTGACAGCCTAGTAAGTCTTAATCTGATTGACGAGCCTATCCGTCTGCTAAAGCTTTCGGAAACCTTGAATCTTGTTTCTCTGCTTTAAAGGTAGCAGCTCCAGTGAAATCTAGGAGGCAGATTTATATCCATATTCAGCTTTCCTTAAGAGCTGAGATATTGAGCTGCCCCTGGATCCTGCTCAGTGTAGCAGCTCATCTGTGTTTAGTTGTTAAGGTATGGCCAGTTTCAATGCAGCATTTGTCAAAGCACGTTTTGAGTTGGCTTCCTTTAGATGCATGTGCGTGCCTGGCCTGTAGTTAACCAAAAGTAGATAAGCTTTGACATGTTAAAATCCAAATTTGAAACACTGATTAAATGCATGCCACAAGCTGTAGAACACCTCACAGGAAAACTGCTGCTGGGAGTGTGCACTTTTGAGGTAACAGCTGGCTCTCTGTGGCTGTTGCTAGTGACTTCTGTTTCTTGTAGCGACGGGAAGGAAGTGCTACTGATGCATTGGCATCAGACTTTCCATGCAGATAAACAACCAGTTTCTGCACTTCATGGCAAGACCTAATAAATGACAGTGTTTGCACAGGCATGCAAGTGACACTTAACTATTTCTGAAAACAAACTGCGTTAAAAATAATACAGAACCTCTGCGTAGGTGCTGGTCATTACTTCTGTGCAAAAAGACTAGAGATTATAGAGAGGTTCAGCTTTAGTTTACAATTTATAAGCTATAATGTTATAGATTTCATGTGCCTTCATTTTGGGTTGGTTGCCTCAAATGCAATGGATAAAATCAGTCTTGCAAAGCACTTTTTCTTTATGTCTGTGAGACAGGACCAGAAATTTCCCCTTAGTCCTCCCTGTTTAAACTGTACTCCTGTACAGTGGGGTGTCTGAAACAGGGAGGATTAACCATACATGTTATGATGTAGAGCTAATTCTGTTGTAACAGAAAAGATAATTAGATGCCTATGTCTTAAACTTTTCTCTGCAAGATAAATAGGTTTTTAGACTTCTGTAGGAAGGAAGTTTTCTGACTGAACACTTAAAATGTGAGTATTCCTCAGTATGGGCACATCTGAATTGAGTACGTATTCCATGCAACTACTGATGTCCAAACTTTATTAAAGTTGTTTTCTGCTTTGAGAGTTTATAGTTCTTTCATACAGGCTGTTGGGTGAATTATGTCTCTCTTCACATGCAAGTAGCAAAGAATTGCACAAAAATACCAAGTCTTAACAGCTATTAGGTTCTAGGGAAACAATTTTAGGGTTTTGAATAGAGCATATCTTGGATTTTAAGAGAGTAACTGGAATATAATGTTACATAATACAGTAGAACTTTGCAAATTATTAAGGAAACTTGAAAAATGATGAGAAGATGCCTCATTTATATCATTATTTGAAGTATCAAAGTGAAATTGCTGGTCCACTGATACTGTTTAGCTGTCAGTTAATGAAATTTCACCATAATGGTCGGAAGGTTTTTGCAACAGAGCAAATATCTCTTTTGGTGTTTGAGATATACAAAAGAATGGCTGGATAACCACTCGTGTCTCTCTGCGCTATGGGAATAAAGCACTTTGATTTCACATTATGACTTGTCACATTCCACATGGTTACTTTTTATAATATGACCTAAAACTTAATGGGTTTTTTTTGAGGTAAGAAAGACTTGATGCCCTATTTCAGTATATTTGCAGTCTAAAGTCTCAAGTGTGCTTGAGTCAAATATTTTGGATACATTGCCTAGAAAGATGTGACTGAAATGTGACTGAAATAAAGTTCTGTGGTACAGAAAACTGGAGCACTTACTGGTATCTTTTCACTGGTATGCCTGAAGTTACTGAATGTGTTTGTTCACTTTTTATGATGGTGTGTAAGGCAGCAAGACTGTAATGTAACATGTGGTATCTTTTTTTTGTACTTTATGTTCGAAAAATTTAAGAGGCCTGGAAGCCTGTTGGGTTTTATTAATACACTTTTTGTGGTTGTCTCTCTGAATGGTTATGAGTTGAGAATCTGTAAGCTTTAGTTTTTCGAAATAAAAAGAGCCCATGAATGCTCTGAATTGGTTCCTGTATGCTACATATTTAGGTCCATATTGGCTGTTAAAACTATCTACTGGTTTGTGTTGGGTTTTTTTTCATTATCAGGATGTTTGATGCTGTCTAGCACTCAAGCAGTGAGACATGGAAAACATACAGTAAAGTTGTTTGCAAGACAGTAACATCTTTCTTTGGCAGCTACTTTCTAATAACTCATGTCAATGTAAATGAAGACACAACAATTTTTCTTGTAGACAAATATGTCTAAATAAGGGCCTGGGAGAGTGGCATTGCTTAACTTAAAATAGTATACTGACCTTACTTCTGTGCAGCTTAATATCTCTGACTCTTGGAAAGACTAATACTAGTTTTAGTCACTGTGTAAAGGTCAACACCTAATTAAAAACGGTTTAGGATTAAGGTATTTTGTAATGTGTCTTAACTACAGCTGGTGGCTACTGTAAAGGGAAGTTTCAGCAGCAAGCTAGACTGTGGGGTTTTGGTGTATCTAAAAATTCTTTGAAGCTGTTCCCTTTCCAGAAGATATGTGAAAACCTCATGTGGCCAGTAGCTCCTAACAGACATCCAGATTTTTGCTTAAACTGAAAAGTCTCAGCTGTTGCCATGCTTGTGGATCAGGATGCAAGCAGCTAAGCCAAGCAACCCTAAATCAGTAGTATGGTGACACAAGTGAGAGGAGAAGGGAGGAGGAAGTGTTCTTGGAACCTTAGGAGAGAACAGAGGCATGTGAAAGCAGCTGAGGTTATGGGGGAAGTGGAGAACTTGGTAGAAGAGCAGTCTCCATGAGGCTTGCTGATCATGCAATGGCTTGACTAGTTCTTTAGAAAATTGTATCTAAACGTACATCCCTTCTCCTAAAGAATAATAGTTGACAGAGATGGCTTGCTGAGAGCTCTTGACATAAATTAATGTCTGATGCTAAGTATTTGAGTTGGCCCTCTTACCGACATTTCTTTGTGTGACTAGTACTGTTTGCAAAAGCACAAACAGCTCTTGTGTTGAGTGTAGCTACAGCTGTTGCAGCACAGTCCTGGTATGTCAGAACAGCCCAACTTCAGGCTTCTCACTGGAAGAGAAGCTGTTCAGCATTGCATTGCTAACTTATTTTTCCATTAGCTAGAAAGGAGGGCTAAGGAGATTACTGTATTGACTTAATATACCTTGAGTTATACAGGATGTATATGAACCTGAAGGCAATAGGCTAAACTTCAGAGACTTCATCTAGAAAAAAAAGTAGTTGAGTTATGTGTTTTGTTTCCTTATTGGCATTGAAGAAAAAAAAAAAGGTGCATACTTCCATTTTTTCATGTCCTCATCTGAGTGTGCAAAGGAGGAAGAGGTCTGAGATTAGTAGAAGGGATTAGGCTAGCTTTTTTAGTTTGTCCTGAACTGTGAACAGTTTGACAGAATAAATGAAACATGAATTCCTAGTTTTATTATAATGAAAGATCATTTTACAGCTGTTCCACAATTTCTCTTCTATGATTTTTCAGTTTAGCCAGCATTAGTGTTGATATGTCCTAATGTGCACTCATTGTTGGAAAAACTGAGCCAACCTACCAGGTTTTGTGCCTGCTTTTAATAAAACTGTGTTACAAGTTAGGCAGTTCATTTCCTGTGGTAAAACCCTGGAGAAACCAAATTCTGAGCCTTTCACAAGGAGTGAAGCTGCAAGTGGTGCATGAGATGTGCCCTTAGAGCAGGTAGTACTCAGGTCAAGGTGCAAAAGCATTCGTGTTCCTTCAGCTAGACCAGCCATGCCAAATGAACCATTGTAGTGTGTTTAGGTGCACCTTCCCTTCTGCAATGACAGCTGTGAACTGTCCCCTCCCCTGGGTGCTGGGGACAAGTCACGTTAATCGATTTTAACCTGCCCTTGTCTCATTAAGAGGCATTTGGCAAACCCGCAGTGGAACTGGCGAGAGTGGCAGAAGTGAACAGATCTGTGTCCATGCATGGCTCTGCATCAGTGCAGGTAAATGATTGAAGCTGACTGCTATCAATCTAAAGCAGAAAGCCTGCAGAATATATCCTTGCATCAACCCTTGTCCGTGAAAAGAGACTTTGTAAACCTAATCTCAAATGCTACTAACAACCAGAATAATTCAGTCATGTGGGCTGTATCTGGGCATTTCCTCAGTACTTCTCTGCTGAAGCCAGAAGCCTTTCACCTTTTCTGGCTGGCTGTTGAGCTCTCCCAGTTACTTCACTTTGCAATTCCTTAAGAGTGCCTGAGAAATTGGTAGTAGGGTGGGCATAAATAACAGATGTCTTTTTTTAAAGCTAGGTGGGGTGATGGTTGGTTGGGTGGAAGGGTTGCCTGTTCTGAAAGTGTGTTGGGAGGGTTCCTTTTAAAAAAGAGATAAAGTATGTCTGCAATATATGTTGAGGTACAGAAATCCCTTGGGACATTTCATACTAAAGAGGTGCTGTCCCTTTAACTGCTTTAAATACAGAAAGACAAAATTGACTGTACAGACTTAGGATGATGTCTCTGTTCACTGAACATACACTTGGGCAATATAAAGCATCCAAGTACCAGCAAACATGTTTGTAACACTTGAATATATAAGGATATCTATATTTGCTGTTTCTTTTCCTTGTTACCTGTGGCATAGTATCTTTCAGTAGATCTGTCTTATGGAAGTGACTGTGACAGTTTGGGACAGTATAACTAAAGGAATGCAGGTAAGTCCTGCTGGTTCAGCTGCTTCCCCATAGCAGGACCATTAGCTACCAACCTCACACTTGTCTTCTGCATCTTGAAATGTCCCCTCCTGCCACAGCTGGGCTGGGTGGAACAGACTGTGGGTGTTGTAGCTGCCACCCCTGCAGTCTACAGCTGCACAGTGTGGGCTCCAGCACTGGAAAGTCTGAGGCCTTTTGAAGCTGCTGGCAGTTCTTCTTTGGATGGGGATGAAAGCAGAGATGCTACATCAACATTTATAAAGGTATTATTACACTTTCACAGGTGAATAAATGACGTGAACTGAACCTGAACTATAGGTGAAACTGGACAGCAGAGAAGACTTTTAGTATTAAATGGTGCGAAGTACCTCATATAGTTGACATAGCTAATTAACAGTCCGTTATTAATCTCTAGCTACTGAGAGTAATCAGCTGGATCAACACTGAACAGTAGCTACAGGAAACTAAAGAGTTGCTGCAAAATTATCATATCTGTTCATAAGATACATAATTGTTCTTAAAGATACCTCATAAAGGATGTTTGTTTTTTTGCAAAATGAGTTAGTTGTATCATGGGTAAGAGCTTGCAGTGCTACAACCCTAGTATGTCTTTTAAGGGCTTTATAGCAAGTCACTGACAGCTGTCAGCATGCTAGACAATATTAGACTTTTGGGTATTAACTTGAAATTTTCTCAACTTTGAAAGTCAGTAATCTCAACTTCCTTGCAGCCAAATTTTTTTTTCTGGGATAATTAAAGAGCTGGGCAGTTCTTGAACTTGTGTATGCAAGAGAAATGTGGTAGTGGCCTTTATCCTGTGTTTACATTTGTGGGGTTTAAACAAAATGAGAACCCAAAACTTTTCCCGGATCTAGAGTAAATTTAACTGAAGCAATATTTGCAAACAGGCAAACATTGAGGAGAGACTTCTGCTGTATGCACTGAGGGACAGCTTTTTTCTCTCTGTTGTATCAGTGGTACAGAATAGCAGTTGTTATTTTTTACATCATCGCAAAGTTTTCAACTTAGCTCAGAGCAGATAACAAATGAGAGAATTCTAAACTAAAGTGTGATTCCTTCTAGACTGGAACCTTGGCTAAAAACAAAGCAACTGATTTTTACTAGGTAGCAAAGTGAAAGTCTGCTGATGGAGCCTGGCAAAGCGCAGAGCTCTTGGGATTACAGTGCTGTGCATCTTTATCCTCTTCTTTTCTAGCTACTTCCCATTCATCCCCATTGTTTTTCTCTCTCTCTGTTTTTTAGTGGCTTGAATTCTCTAAGTATTGATTAATAGATCTATAAAGCTCAGAAAATGGGGATGCTTCAAATAAAGAAATCTCTTTATTAAGAACTAAATGAAAAAAGTAAACATAAGCTTTCCTTTTCCACTTGAAATTTTAGGAGTGGAAAGAACAAGAATTGTGTTGAGGATAAAGGTCTCCACATAGATAATTTTAATTATAACAGAGACAAATCTAAAAGGTGGTGGGCAAATGTGGAAAAAGACCACACTTTCTCCTTGAGGTCTTAGTGTTGTGTGCCTTAAGGTCAACACTGTGAATCATACTCTGCTTTGAATAAGAAACACTGCACATAGTTCACAGGATTTCCAATGATTATTTCATTAACTATGTCAAAAGTAGTGTCTTTTACAGGGGTCCTTAATGGGATTTCTGGCTAACTGGAATGCTCACATTACCCTCTTGTAGGTGAGCCCCTTTTGATCCCTGTGTAACTGAACCTACATTCTGGAAAACTTTGCTTCACGTCCTGTTGAAAGTAGAACACTGTAACTTTACAGATGACTAACATTTTGAAAGTTCACTTTCCTACACACCCTTCAAACTGAAATGCCTGTTGTAAAGACAATGGAAAAAAAAGCAACTGATCTCAGACATGCCAGTACACACAGTGAAAAACTGTACAGGGAAACAGCTCCTGTCTTTGTAACTGTTGAATGATTTTAATATTCCACATTCCACACTAGTGCTCTTCAGGGGGCCTTTTCTGATTTAAATCCCTCTGACCCATTACAGTAGTAGTCA